TCTCGATGTGGGGGTCTGATTACATCATTGATTTGGAATAGAGTTGGTACTCTTTGCTGGGTTATATGCTTCACATGCAGCTCACTATAGCAGTACTCTTCTATCTCAAGCTTTGGATTGGTGCTCCAAGCAAAACAAATATGTAGTCTACTCAGCTTCAACTACAGCACATTCAAGGCTTTTCTACTTTTTTGGTTTAGAACAGTTAATCATTTGTGATTCCTATACTCTCTCTGGATCAGTGGAAGGTTTAGCATGTCTTCATTGGAGGAACAGTGATGGCCTGGAGTTGGTACTTTTTTTTTATTTTTATATGTGTCAATTTGGCCAACTTTGCTGGGTTATGCTTAACATGAGTACTCTTATGTCTCAAGCTTTGGATTGGTGCTCCAAACACAAGAAAAAAAAAAAAAAAAAAGCCTACTCTGCTTCGACTATAGCAAAATTCAACGCTTTTTCTGCTTCTTTGGTTTAAGCATTGTTCCAATCTCATGGTTGGATTCTCCACCCATGATCTTGCGGGGGGATGTTAGAGTATGTAGAGCTAGGATTGTGACAAGTGTCACTTAGTCATTGACTGATGTTAGATTAGTTAGTAAGCTGTTATAATCAGTTAGAGCCTTATAAAGCTTAACTCTCTGTATTATAGAGTAATCTGAGAAATAATACAGAAAGGTTCATCTTCTTCTTAATTCTCTCTCTATTTTCCCTTTCGTTAACAAATATGTTAGTTCATGCTCAGAATGAGAATCTTATGGACTGGATAATGTCCAGCTTCAATACGAAAAATATAGATAGAGTAATTGACATGCTTGTTACGTCATGTTCAACTTATAACAGTGGCAAAAGACATTCTGAAAGAATTTATCGAGTATCAGTTCAGCTCAATTATAGGACTTCGGACAATATCTCAGGTTGAACAAAGGTACGATTTTGTAGACCCCACCGTGGGAGCTTTATACCTATATCCCAATCTTCAAATATACTCACCCATCTCTTTCAAACCCTACCAGGGCTTTTCTTGCAAGTGTTATTCGATAAGTACTTATTTTGGTGAGACAGAAATTGCTGAGGCCTTTGTGCACTCATGTGCCAAAGGTTCTGAAACTTCTGATGAATTTAGAGTTATACACCATACTTGAAATTGAGAACTACGTCAACAAGGGTTGGTTGAATTGGTAAGGATTGTTCTCTTCACTATCAAGGCTTAGGTTCGAATCCCGCTGCCGAAAATCCCTCTTAGTGGGTAATCTGTAAAAACCAAAACAAAGACTAAGACTCCCTCTGTAAGTCCTCAAAAAGATCTTGGTATGCCTTAATCCTAGAATGAAGTAGCCTCCCCTCCTCCTAAACTTTCTATTATCGAAATTGAGAACTACAAGTCTGCAATATGTGCGTGATTACGAATTTAAAAATATCCTTGGGGCATGAATGCAAAAAGCTTAATTAGTAATCATGGTTTGCGTATAGGCAGTCTAATCTTTATGTTGGGGGCAATCATTAAGTTTAGATAATAGGGCAACGTCAATGACCAATAGGGCAGACACCCTTTATAAGTTAAGATAATAGATCTCTGTGTATTCTAGTTCAACCGCATCTTTTAATCTTAATCTATACTTAACTTCATGGAGAATATTTTTTGCAGCATATCTCAATAATTTAGTGCAGTTTATATTTATGTGAATGAAACAAAATTTGGGTTTGCTGATAAAAGTATTCAAATTGATGGGTGATGATGTTGATTTTCCATTCATCTGACTGGTTGTCCCCATTGCTACTTTTCAGTTGCTGGATAACAAGGAGTTTTTGGAAGAGATAACCTCACGTACCCCTATTGATCGTGTTGCAGAACCTGAGGAGGTCTCATCTCTGGTAGCCTTCCTCTGCCTACCTGCTGCTTCTTACATCACTGGACAGATTATTTCTGTTGATGGAGGCATGACTGTGAACGGTTTTAACCCCATTAGGCGGCCACTTTGATTTTTGAGCCTCTGTCTCTGTTTCTCATTTTTTTCATGTATTTTTCTGAATCATTTACCCTCCCAGATGCTCAGCCAATGTTTTACCACTTATTAAGCTGAACTGGGCATCGTTTCCTTGTGAGAAACTTTTGAACAAAAATTGTGGTCCTATGTTGGGTCACGTTTTACTTGTACCCTCTGTTTGGTTCTTTTGCCTTCTGTTCTGATCAACAAAAAAAAGCATAGAACTCATAATCTGTTTGGTGGGTGAGAAAAAGAAAGAAAGAAAAATTCAAAGGCACACAGAAAATATCTAATAAGTGGTAGAAAAGAGGCAGGCACACAGAAAACTGTAGAGACAGTAATCTCTTTCTGGTGCAAACATTGAAAAAAAAGAAATTAAATTAAATTAAAAATGAAAGGAAACCCACCTCTACAGGAAAAGACCTCTGATTTTCAAGGCAAGAGTGACGTGGTGAAGTGGGTGTGTGGGCTTGTACGTGTCACCCCACACCAACACAACCCTCCACGTCTCCCAAACATCAAAGAACTTTCTTTATTTGGAGATGTCGTGGTGATGGGTATTTTGGGAATTAGGAAAGTTGGATACGTGTTGTAATCGTGATACGTGTTGCAGCTTACCAAGTTTCGACGGAATTAAGTAATATTTGATATCTAATATTTTAATATAAAAGCCCATAATTGAGTTAGGTCAAATACCTTTTTGCATTCAAATTTAAGTCTCCCTCTTCCTCGTAAGTTAGTTGGAGATGTCAAATACAAAATGCTTATGTACAGTTTAACATCTAATATATTAGTGTGATTTTATGGCTAAAAAAATATTATAATATATGTGACATCAAGCTTTTTGAGATGTTATTTTGACATATTTCTTCCGGTCTTTAAATTTATATAGAATTTGACTACTCGATTTATAAGAATGTTAAGGTAAAAAATCCCACGTTGGAAAGTTTTGATAACCTTGCAAGGGTTTATAATTAGTTGGGCTACTCCCTCATTGCTAATTAGTTTTCAAGAACCTCAACTTCCTTCATGGTACCAAAGCCTCCCTTTTGTTCTTCACCATAAACACTAATGGCACCAAACAACAATTTTGACGTCATTGTGAACTGTGAGAAAAATAAGAAGGGGTAATGAAAAATACATAGCGTCCACACTATAATAACATCGAGATGTCTGCATATGGAAAAAATATGTTCATATATATTATATATAAAAAATTATCATGAACCTGTAATTCAAGTCGTTAATACCAAGTACCTAAGATTTTAGATTTGTATTAAAAAAAGACATCGGAAGGAAATTGAAAATTTGAGAATTGAGACCTAACCTGTGACCATTATGGGTAAGGTGAACCGTGGTCAGAGAGAGGGGCGTTGAGGTTGAGTTGAGTTTTAGTCAGACAGAGAGGGACAGTGACCGAGTTATTGACCCTTACGTGGCAATGCATCTAGTGGGTAGGTCAGGGAACTAGGATGAAGGAACTCATTGCTTAACAGCCCACACCCCCACGCCTTATACGTGGCACCTGCTCACCTGTTGTTGGAATAATATTACTTTTAGGTCCCTACGCTGCCTCACGTTTTTGAGACGGGCACTACAATCCTTCTTTTTCTCGTAAATGTGTTTTACGTTCATTATTAGGTGTTATTTACTTGAAACTAATCATATTAAGATTCATTTAATATATATCATTTACTAACATGAGATATACTAAAATTTATACTATTTAATGTAAAATTTTGATGAACAGTTTTTGTGAATAAGTAATTATTTTGCTAAATGAAGCATGATAATGTTTCAAGGGTATCTAATTTGAAGAAATAAGCAAGTATATTTGATTCCACATGCCACTTGATACTTGTTGAATTTCATATATATTACGCAATAGTCGATTTCAATTGTGAAACGTGATCTCACATGTGTTTAGATTTTATTTATTTAATCAACGTTTTCCATGAAGCACCCAAAATAATGTGAATAACTTTAAATTATGCGTACAAGCGTCATTCAACGCAAAATCTCCACATAAAAACATGTGTGATATGTAAATTCCAAAAGAAATTACATTTCACCTTACCTTTTTTATTTATTTTTTTGCAGCTAAAAAGAGATTTTGATGTAAATATTTTCTTAGAAAAACAAGGAAAATTCAAAATTAAGGTCTATTGCAAATTTAAATAGAAGTACGACTTTCTAAATCAAGAGCTATGATGATCAATGACTAAATGATATTTAGATTGATCCACTCGTATTATATGAATTCCGAACTTAAAGATAAATGTAGGCTAAGAGTGGATTCATGCAATACCGTATTAGGAAATAGAAAAAAAAAATTCATAATTTTTAACTAAATATCATTAAAATAAAACAAAATGTATTTTTTTTGGTGGAATAATGTGTTGGATCATCGTGGGGTGCTCCAAAAATCAAAATTGACGACGATACGACCCCTCCCTTCTAGGCTTCCGGAAGCGGGTGGTATTGTTATACTCGCAGTAATGCGTGTGGGGGAGGCAACCAGACCCGAATATCGTATTCTGCGATGCCGCCACGTGGAGAATACTCCGAACCCAGTGATTAAAAATAAAACAGAGAGAAAATTAGATAGTAAAATATATTAAAAAGACGAGAGGGGTCGGTCGTTCAAGGACCACATGCGTGTCAGAAAAAGGACACAGCCTACACCTACCGTGTCATCACAAAATTAGGCCACGTATACGTGTCGAAAAGGCAAAGCACGTGTTGAAATATAAGGAAGAGAGAGATGAGATGGACGGTGGAGATGGGGCTTTTGTATTCAGTAGTTCGACGTCATACCAACTGTACAATGTCGGATCCTGCCCGTGATGGTGACGGGCAAGCTGCCCGTGATTAGGCCTGTTGTGGCCCCCAGGTGAAAATGTTGCGGGTGTGCGTGGAGGGTGGTGAGGTGGCTCTTTTTCTCGTATAGAAAAAGCTTCGGTGCACAGGCATTTTAAGGGATCCCACTAAATTTTCTCTCTCGCTATTATTCTCAAAATCCCTTATATTTCTGTAGCCTCATTCCCTCCCTCTCCTCTCAGGTCTCAGGAGTAGAGAAGAAGAGTTTGTTGTGATTTGTGTTGTAGTTTGATTGAGTTTTTGTTTGAATTTCAATGGCTGGAATTTGCTGCGGTGTTGTCGGAGAAGCTGAGGCGTCGACTACGATTGAAGCAAGCTCAAGGAATTCGAGGCGCAGGAGATTGGAGCTCCTACCGCTTAAATACATAGCTGACATGGCCGTGAAACCGTCGACGGTGGAGAACAGCCGGAAGCGGCAGAAGATCGATCTGTACCGTTCATCGTCGTCGGTGCCACACAACGCAGTGGAAAGCTCCTCGGAAGCGAAATCGAAATCGGAAAGCGAAGGGTCGAAGCTGAACGCGACCGTGCGTTTTGGCGACGATGATTTTGATGCTGTGAATACACGTGGAGATCATCAGGAGTCTAAATCTGTGCGTGTGGACAACGAAGCGGTGCAGGTGCAGGCACTGCAGGGGAGCCCTCGGTTTGGTATGACTTCGGTTTGTGGGAGAAGACGAGACATGGAAGACGCCGTTTCGATTCACCCTTCGTTCTACCAAAACGACGGTCCAGACTCTAATGGAGCCCACTTCTATGGAGTTTTCGACGGCCATGGCTGCTCTCATGTAATTCCACCAATCCTAATCTGAATTCTATACTTCACCGATTCTCCCGCACTTTTTTGTTTCCGATTTTATTTTATTTTTTCTTATTTTGTTTGGTTTCTTTAGGTGGCCTTGAAGTGCAAGGATCGGTTGCATGAAATCGTGAAGCAAGAGCTCGAAACGGAAGGCGGGTACATACAGTGGAAGGGCGCGATGGAGCGAAGCTTCGCGAAGATGGACGATGAGGTCCAGGAAGGAAACCTGGTTGCTCAAGGCCCGAATTGCCGGTGCGAGCTTCAGACTCCGCAGTGCGACGCCGTTGGATCTACGGCGGTCGTTGCTGTCGTCACTCCGGAGAAAATTATCGTCTCTAATTGTGGCGATTCCCGCGCCGTGCTTTGCCGAAACGGCGTCGCCGTCCCTCTTTCCTCCGATCATAAGGTGAGCTTTGAGTTCCCTCGCTTTTCCCGAGAAATAAAAAAATTGAATTTTCGCGACTTGTTTGAGATCTAAATCTCAAGACCACGAGTTCATTTGAACCGGAGCGCTATGATTAATTTTGTTTTTGGCGCGTCAACTTATTAGCACTGGGGCAAAGACTCAGAGTGCCTAAATATGCTAATTGATTGCGCGTGCACCACACGTTAGCTAACGTGCGCTTATTTTATTTTGTTATTGCAGCCGGATCGACCCGATGAGCTGGTTCGGATCGAAGCCGCGGGCGGGCGGGTCATCTACTGGGACGGTGCGAGAGTCCTGGGAGTTTTAGCCATGTCGAGAGCCATTGGCGACAACTATCTGAAACCGTACGTGATATCGGAACCGGAGGTGACGATCATGGATCGGTCGGCGGAGGACGAGTGTCTGATTCTGGCGAGCGACGGCCTCTGGGACGTGGTATCAAACGACACCGCGTGCGGAGTCGTTCGCATGTGTTTGCGCGCGCAGAAGACGACTTCGCATTCGGAGTCGTCTGGAAGAGACGCGGCAGTGAGGTCCGACAAGGCGTGTTCGGACGCCTCCATCTTGTTGACCAAGTTGGCCTTGGCTAGGCAGAGCAGCGACAACGTCAGCGTTGTCGTGGTGGATTTGAGAAGACCCGGGAGGTGCTAAATCCGGCGTCGTTTTAATTACATGAAGTATGAAGATGATATAATACTAATCTAGCCAACGGTCATTGGAAGAGGGAAATTACCAGAGTGGCCTTCGATTGTTAATTGTTAGTTGTAGGCTGCTCTTATTTTCTCTTAATTAATTAACAAGTTTGGAGGAAATTTTTATTTTTTTAATAAGGTGTGGTTTGGGGCCTTTTTTCTTGATTTTTATTTTTATTTTAAAAGGTTTTACAATTTCACATTACTGCAGAAGTTTGCAGAAATGTGATGTTATACGAAGTTATATAGTGAATATAATTGTATAATAGATTAGTTTTTCTCATTCCCTTCTTGAATTGCACGGTTCCCTTGGTTCGGAATGCAATCAGTTTGGTTAAATGAATGGTTTCCATTTGGTTTTGGAATTAGGCGCAAAAAGTAAACAAGCAGTTGAATCTTGCACCATTCCAAACGGCATGCTATTTACCTGCAAATTTTACAGTCTTCAATACGTGTACAAATATGACGTGCAAATACAAAAAACTAAACCTTACGTGCTACACATGGATAACTAAAGATTTTTAGAGTTCCTTATTCAAATAATTTATAATTTATTAGGAGTAAAGCATTAGGTCTGATGCTTAAGATTCTTGTGTTGTATTCAAGCTCTCAAGCTCTCAAGCTGGTGCTGGGAATATTTGAGTCCATTGAAGATTACAATGGCGATAAGACTTTGGTTGTTTCGGGACCCTATGGCGCCGTGGGAGGATAAATTTGAGGTTCCCTTTCGTCAGCTGAGTGGCCGCAGTTGGATAAAGGGTATGTAGGCGCTCTTTTCATGGCCCGAGTGGGCAGATTTTGGGGGTTCCACCACTCGATTTTTATTCCTCGACAACAATGTGTGGGGCCACACACACACACATCGTCCCACTCAATGGAATGCGGACACGTAGCGTTTGATCTTTGTTGCTGGCCTTGTGGCATCAACATCTCTGAGCTGGCTTAAGATCTATTTAGATCTTGATGTTGATGGCCATGGACCCCAAATGTGCCCTCAAAATTAAGGAAAAAAGAAGAAGGGTCTCTCTGCCCTTTTAACAGAACCTCTTTTCTGGGGTTCAAGCTTATTGAGTAACATGAGTTTTTTGTCAATTCACATAAATCATAAAATAGAAAGAAATGAGAGGATGGCATGAAATGTTAGTGCAACTTTCTTGATATAAAAAAGAGAGAGAGAAAAAAGCCCCTCAATGGTCGGCCATGGTTGGCATGATATTTCTTGAGATGGCTAGGCATAGCCATGTTGTTTGCACAATTTAGAGTTTGATTGATATGGACCACCTCATTCACCTTTTTCCTCTTTTTGCTTTTTTGGTTAAATGATATAATGAGAAGAAGAAAAATGAAAACGTTCATTCATACGACTCTTATGTAAGCATTCTATTGCAATAACTGATCACGTGATTAGCACGTAACATGTTAAATGAGAAAAGTATAAATGTATTATATATTAATTTTGTAAGACGAATCACAATTTTGTCATGAATCTTTGACCTTATTATTTTGAAGGGAGGACATATACCATATATATATATATATATTATATTACGAGGTGCACCAATGAAATAAAAAGTTGGAAATAGAAGAACAAACACATATCAGATCTCCGCACCTTAAGGATTTGACTCAACCATAATGCCATTATAATGTTATTGCTGCAGAAAGTTGAAGACCACGTCATTGGTGGAAGGAAAGTCAGAAGATTGATGATATAACTTGGAAACTTATATTCAAGCTGGTTTTGGCAAAACCATGTACTAATTATTATAATATTAAAATTTTATTTATTTTTCTTTTGTATAATAATTCAATCTGCGGCGTGTGGATTATTATCCAAAGGGATGTATTTTTTATATCAAATATAAACTTCAACAATACAATCAAAAACATTAACACAACATCTAAAGTACCAATCTTAATAGTATAAAAAAGTAACATGATAAAAACAAAAGTAAAACAGACAAAAGTGCACTAAAACTACTAGCCCACATCACCATAATTAACCATAAGCCCAAACAAAGGCCACATATCCAATATAAACCCTAAAACCACCCACGAGCCTAAACGAACCCTACCATCACCATCTGAAGAAGCGCCGTTGCGGCCACACACATCACCGCCTCTGTAACATACCTGGAAAAAAAATATGGTAGTGGGTTTTGGGAAAATGATTTGTTTGAGAACACCTGAAAGGGATGATGGAGAACTTCAATATGAGTAAGCTCATAAGAAATCACTACAAATGGTTTTTTATTCAAAATGCCCCAATAGACTTATTCACTAACCTAAAAAAAGAAAGGCGATGAGAGGGGAAGGGAGGAGCGGTGAAGACGATTCTTCCTCCTCTCCCCTCTGTGGAGTTTTTCTTTGTAACTCACATAAGGAGAGAGCGGCTAGAATTTCTCTGCTCACCTAATGAAAATTTTCTCTAAAGGGGATGTTAATTTGTAGACAGCATTTCAGAGGTTCATCAAATTTCACATGTAATGTTTGAAACTATAAGAGCACCTTTTTTCTTCTTATTCTTTTTGCTTGGCATTTCAATAACTTGAAGAATAACTGGGCAGCATTTGAGAGTGAACAAGGAACCTAAGTAAATTAGCTATTAGATTTGGTATGAAGATAAAATTGGAATGTCTATTACAATTTAAAGAACCTATGTAATGAAATATCAATACCCTAATTTAGTAAATGGGATATATTTAGCTAATTAGCTAAAAGGTACATAACTAATATGTCGTGGGTAAATGAAATAGTGTTTATCTGGCAAAAACAAAGGAAAAAAATAACTGGTGTAAATAATTTGTGTCAAACAAGTCAAAAGAGAAACCAAAACTAACTGAATTGATTCAAGATGGTTTGGTTCGATTTGGGCCTAAGCCTAATTTGTTTTCTTTTGCATTTTTTTTTTCAATTTTGTTAGCCTAATGAAAAAAGAAAAATATCATAACTTGCTACATATTTTTTAATTTTATAGCGTATCAAATCATTCTAAAATTTCAAAGTTCAATAACTTATGTATATACAATTCAAATATCAATCACTTCAAAGTTTCATCAAACTTCAAATTCAATATCATTATGTAATTATTATCTAATGAGAGTACTACAAATGTAAAATAAAATAAAATATACAACTAGACAATTCGGTTCGATTTAAGCCGGTTTACAAAAGCTCAAAATCAAAACAGTTTAATGCTAGTTAATTGATTCGGGCGGAATTGATGCCCACTCCTAACTTTTGGTGCTATATTCATCAACCACAAATAGTATAAAAATTAGAGATATGTGTCAATTACCCAATATTAACGGGTGATTTTAAACCATAATTATATATGCCTCATATGCATCAACGGCTAAGAATTAAAACGGTAAGTAATTAGTGATACATCCGTGCACAATTGACCATAGCATTCTTCATCCTGTAAATTATAAATGTACCAAATCTACTATATGCAAAAATTCATTCAACTTTCGTTAGAGTTTGACCAAAATACTTTATGCCCCGCGCACATAAACAAACAAATAAATAAGTTTTCCGTAAATTCCCAAGCTTTTGTTTTTACTGTCACTTTTCTCCTCTTTTTCTACAGTCTACAATTTCTCATCTTCCCACCACTCCCAAATTTATCAGAACCGACAGTCTACTTAGCGGATCCAAAGCGAAACCCACCATGCTTTAACCTCCTCATCTTTCCCGCCTCGCCTGCCAATCAGAAGCCCTCACGAAAAGAAAAAAAAAGTCGCACAAAATAAAAGGTAACGAAAACCTTCTCGCTAAGCAAAGCAGGCCACTTCTACACTTTTAGCTTAAACTCACGGCCTATATATTTGTATTTATTGTACAAAATTTCATGATTTATGCTAATATAGAAGAATAGAAGACAATGCGTGCCTGATCAGTATTCAAAACCCTAGAAAACTTGGGAATCAATTGCTGCTGTTGATTTAGACGGTTGCATAATCGTTCTTCAATCTTGAGGGTAAATACTTTCAGTGTTGATGTTTCCGATAATAAGTCAACAGTTTGATATTGGGATGATTGTTTTTATTATTTTTATTTATTTATTTGTTGGGGGCTTTTTAATTACTTTTCAATTGGATTTTATGCTTTCCCAGAAACTACATTTTTGTTTGTATTCAGTAATATGTATATGTTTTAAGTACATTGATTGGCTACTTAAGGCTGTGTAGGCTTAGTGTAAATAGTATTTAGCATCCTTTGCTGAAGCATGTATATATCAATGCCCTTTATGTTCGAATTTAAGATATGCAGTAATGATTCCAAATGGTTCCACAACTGCACCTGTGTTGTAGTTCCAGCATGATATATGGATTATACAATTTTTATTGCTGTCAACATCTCGAAATTCAGATTATGTTGGTTGTCTTGAAAGGGCGTTTATGATTTGTTTGATGGAATGTTATATTTTGCTTTTGATATGACATTCATCTGACTGAAAAGGGGTGGAAGCAAATCTTGCAGGGAATTTACTGCTTTTATTGTTAGTGCTAGAAGCCATTTTGCACTAAGGTTTTGACATTTTCTTATGTTAATCAGTAGTGAAATGAGTGCGCAAAGTGCATTGGAGAACACTCTCAAGGAAATACTACGTGTTGTCAAACCCTTGCGTGAGGACTGGACAACACGGTTGCAAATCATTGATGAGTTACGAAGAGCTGTTGAATCTGTGGAAAGTTTAAGAGGTGATTTCTGTTACAATTTCATGGTTCCACTTTTTTTATTTTTTTATTTATGCATCCATCCTATACTTGTGTTAACCAAAAGTGCTTTTCATTGTTCTTAACTTCAGGAATCAGTTAATTCATTATAAATTCCATTCTCTCTCTTTCTCTCTCTCTCCATTCAATCAGGAGTTATATAGAGACACCTGATTCACTTTATTCCTTCTGTGTTCCTAATTGACCCAAAAGGAGATGTGCACTTGACCTTCAATGAATTATTTGCGTTAATAACTTAATATTACAAGCATACAAACACAAATTCTAAGTTTTTGATACTAACTAATGTCACAATGTTTATTTGCCAATATTTTGTCCCATTTTGGATTACATTTATTTCTACCAACTAGGATATTGCGATGCCATCCACCACATCCGTTGGTGTCTCCTCATTTGGGAAATTTTTTGGTGCCTGTAATACTACAATTTATTTTTGTGCCATTTTATTTATTTAGTCGTACATGTCTTCTAATAATAAGGAGATAACTTTCCCCATTGTTGAACAAAAGTTTAGTAACTCTGTGGGTTTATGACATTGGCA